GCAAATAACGTACAATTTTTATTTAGTCAATTGTTCCATTATTTTTTCTTTTTTTATTTTTATTATCACTATTTATTTTATTATTTTTTCCATTATTCAAACAAAAAATAATCAACATTCTCTTTTTCCTCTCTATTTTTGTTTTGCAGTGCGTGCCCGTGAAATGCCTCAAAGTTAACTACATATCTGAATAATTGTTAAAGAGATGATGGAGAGCCAGTCTGCTGCACTAACACTCTCAAATTAAAAAATAAAGTGAGAAAGAGTTAAATTTGTTTTTGTTCCATAAAAACAATAACTCTTTTCCAATGAAAGAGAAGATAAGGCAGATCAGCTCTTTTAAGAAGAGATGTAACAGTAGTTCACACAGCTATAGAAATAAAAATAGCAAACAATTATTAATTTATATTTTTAAATGAAAAAAAAAAAAACAATTGTTAAATTGAATATATGTTTTAGTATATAAGTTATTTATTTTCTTAATTATAAAACAAAACAAACAACAAATCAAAGAAAAAATCATTTACAGCATTCAAATGTCATTTCAAAGTTCAGAGCCAAGCAAGAGATACATGGCGATTGAGATAAAATAGATCACTAAAGAAAAAATGGATAATTAAATTAATTAATTTTAATATTAAATTAAATTTATTAAAGATATCACAACGACACAAACAAAGAATTGTGATCAATTTTTGAGGTCTATAAAATAAAAGAAACAAATTATCATTTATACCACATAACATTAAGGCTAATCAAGAGATCACACAAACACACACACACACACATCTCATGACATGACAGCATTCATTATTATTTTTTTTTTTTAATTTTAAGTATATTTAATACTATTGTTTAGTCTAATTTTAGTTACACATTTTTCCATTTGAAATATTTCATAACAAAAAATTCATTTAATTGTTTATTATATACATGAACCAATCAAGAGTCAGAATCAGTTTTTTATTATAAATATTATTTAAAAAATTCCCCTTTAATATAAGTTTAAATATATTTTTAATTTTTTTTTTTTAATAACGAACAAACAAATGTTTTCACAAAATTGCATATTTTTGTAATGGCTATATTTAAGCTAAACTGCTGTACGAATTTTTCTTCATTGTTAATTTTTCGCCAAGAAAATATTTAGATTTATTTTTTTTTTTAAAGTTTTTTTGTTAGGCATTGTTCATATAACATGACTATATAGTAGTATAAAATTTACTACTATTATGTGCAATTTATATGTATTACATGTATTTGAGATAATATAAGAAAAATGAGAAACAACAACAAAACATTTATAAATGCTGATAAATATTATGTATTTTAAATTAAAATAATTAAAATTGTTTATCCCTGTGATATGATATGTTTAATAAAATAAATATAATTCATATATAAAAATTGGAAATTGTATAGTGTTTTTATTTTATTTTATAGTTGATAGGAATGAAATCGAGAAAGTGGCCGTTAAAAAAAATGTCTTCGTTTTAAGGCATTTTGTAATAAGATCTAAATTTTTTTTAGATAAATAATCGTTTGTAATTTCATAATAATTTCTTTAATATTAATAATGGAGAATAATAACAGTCAAATTGCCACCATTATTCTTCCATATTCTTTTCATGAAATTTTGCAAAAGCAAATCGCAAAATGGCTGCCCTTTATAGTTGATATCCTTATGAATTATATCATCGAGGTCTTATCTTAAATCGACGCTGTGATGTTAGGTTCGAAATTGTCTTTCACCTAAGAGTCGCAAAGGAACAAGCTACAAGGATATCGGTGGCCAATCACATCATTAAAATTAGTGGTTTATTTGCATGTTTGGCGAGAAGTGCCGTTTTGTTGAAAACAAAGGTTGCCCAGATCTTTGATAGATGTACTACATGCAGAAAGGTTTCGAAATGCATTCTTTATAGAGATGAGCTTCTATATACATTCTATAGAAAAGGGAGTCAATGGGCCTTCAATTTTATAAGATCTTCTACATGTCTTATATATATATATATATAATAGATGACATAGACCTTTGGGTATGGAGGGACTTCTACACCGCTTCAATTTATTGAAGATACTCCTTTTATATATGGACATTTGGGGAGCTTTTATAGACTTTATTGTAATTATTTAAGGATTTTTTCCCCATTTTTATACCCTTTACCACGCTATGGTACAGGTTCAATCAGTTCAGATTTACTATAGCTACCATATATATTTTAGTTCGATTTTTAGTAAATTGTGTATCGAAGAATCATATTTAGGCCGATGGTCACGAAATTTTGCACAACGTACAGAAGTTAATATAGCCTAATTTGGACCAAGTTTTATTCAAATCGGTTCAGATTTAGATATAGCTCCTATATACATTTTCGTGCGATTTTTAGTAAATGGTACATCAAAGGGCCAAAGTTAAGCCGACTGGCACAAATTTTTGCACAACCTACTGAAGTTAACATAGCTTAACGAGTGCCAAGTTTTATTGAAATCGGTTCAGATTTAGATATAGCTCCTATTTATATTTTCGTCCAAATTTTAATAAATATTGCATCAAAGAGTCAATTTTACACCAAAGGGTCAAAGTTAGGGCAATTGGCACGACATAGTGAAGTAAGTATAGTCTAACATGTTCAAAGTTTTATTGAAATCGGCTCAGATTTAGATATAGCTGTCATATACAGTGGTGGTCACAGAATTAAAACATTTACTGTGGTAAAATTTTTTTGATCAGCCCTCGATTCGTTAGAAGTATTTTTGAGAATTTTTTTATTCAGAACACTTCAATATACTGCACTTAAGAGATTTAGTTTGAAAATAGAAAATTATTGCATGCAATTTTTCCATAAATAACGGTTTTTATGAAAATACATCGATTTTGAAGTGGCCATATAGTTAAAACATTGTGTGATTTTTTACTTTACTGAATTTTTTTGAAAATATTTTTAAAATGGCTCTTTAATTTAGTTAAATTATGTAAACTAAGCTCTGATAGAATCATTTACAGATAAAAATATCTGATAAAATCTATCAAAATTGCCAAAAATTTGTACAGTACACTTAACATTCAGAAAACACCCTTATTATAGAAAATAAAGGTTCGAATGCACTAGAAATTGCTAGAATTAGTAAAAAACAATTAATAATTCTCAAAACGAATAAATATTTGAAATAAAAACTCAGAAAATGGGAATTAGCCTAAAGGAACGATTCAATTTCAATAGCCTTTACTAAAGAAGGCCAGAATATTTTTGCAGTATGTGAGAAAATATCGATTGATATTTGTATTTATTATATCAAATCGTCTGTTCGAGTAGTACAGAATATATTTTATCAAAAAATATATCAGTCACAACAGAACGAACAAAGATCAAAGCCTATGTTGACGAGTAAAGGTTTCTGGCACAGAGCAGCATGATTGATGGTCAACTCTTGACCCTTAAAATCTATTGAACATGACAATATTTTTCCAAAATAATATTTTATGAAGAGAATAACTTCCACTTAATCTATTTTAGTAACAAATTAGGAAAAATTTTACACTTTGACAAATATTTGAAGACTTGTGTTGAACATCAAAAATGCTGCTGTGTGCCAGAAACCTTTACTCGTCAACATAGGCGTTGATCTTTGTTTGTTCTGTTGTGACTGACATATTTTTTGATAAAATATATTCTGTACTACTCGAACAATCGATTTGATATAATAAATACCAATATCAATCGATTTTTTCTCACATACTGCAAAAATATTCTGGCCTTCTTTAGTAAAGGCTATTGAAATTGAATCGTTCCTTTAGGCTAATTCCCATTTTCTGAGTTTTTATTTCAAATATTTATTCATTTTGAGAATTATTAATTGTTTTTTACTAATTCTAGCAATTTCTAGTGCATTCGAACCTTTATTTTCTATAATAAGGGTGTTTTCTGAATGTTAAGTGTACTGTACAAATTTTTGGCAATTTTGATAGATTTTATAGATTTTTTCAGATATTTTCATCTGTAAATGATTCTATCAGTGCTTAGTTTACATAATTTAACTAAATTAAAGAGCCCTTTTAAAAATATTTTCAAAAAAATTCAGTAAAGTAAAAAATCACACAATGTTTTAATTATATGGCCACTTCAAAATCGATGTATTTTCATAAAAACCGTTATTTATGGAAAAATTGCATGCAATAATTTTCTATTTTCAAACTAAATCTCTTAAGTGCAGTATATCGAAGTGTTCTGAATAAAAAAAATCTCAAAAATACTTCTAACGAATCGAGGGCTGATCAAAAAATGTTTACCACAGTAAATGTTTTATTCTGTGACCACCACTGTATATTTTCGTCTGATTTTTAGTAAATGGTACACCAAAGAGTTAAATTTAAGCCGTTTAGTACAGAATTTTGCCAATTTTTTTTTTAATCGGTTCACATTTAGATTTAGCTCCCATATATATTTTCCCCTACTGGATTGATTTAAATTAGTTCACATATAAATACAGATCGCATATTTAATTTGTTTCAATTACATGACAAAAGTCCTTCAAAAATGCGACCTCTGTTAGGATGAATCTACTAAATATACCCAAAGTGGTAAAGGGTATCATATAATAGGCCCGTCCGACTATTCTACTTTCCTTACCTGTTTTTCTTTCCATCCCCTGCCCATTTATATTCTTCACAATTTCAATTCTTTAAATCATCTTCATAATACACAAATGCATATATGTATATTTCAAAGTATATATTATTATTATTTAAAACAAAATGTATTTTTTAATTAAATTAAATATGAATACGCAATATTTATTACTATAAAAAAAAATTCTAGTCTATAGTAGACAAAAATGAAATGTTAATATCGAAATATTTGTTTGTTTAAAAATACGTCAGAGTAAATACAGATCTGTGAGAATGACAGACAGTCCTTTGGCAGTCAGTTATATCTCTCCAGAGATGTAAAGGACAATAATTTGTACTACTACACTAAACTGTGTCACAAATACAGAAGTGTTAGTATATTAATTAAATTTACATTTGGAGAAATCCAATTCAGGATGTTGTTTTTTGAATCTAAAAACAAAGAAAATGATAATTAATAAATATCAAAAATAAATATATTAAAAAGAAAAAAAAAACAAAACTTACTGTTCCAATATTTCCATTTTCTTTTTCTCATCACTGGTGGGTAGACCCATTTCCTTTTGCCTCTGATCGTACATCATCTTTTCGACCAAACTGCGTGTTTCACCTTCGAGATCGGATAGCTTGGATGGTTCGGGATTTATTTTGCGTGTTGAAATTGGGGGATCTGTCATAACCAGACGATCCCACCAATTCATTTTGTTAACCTGGAAGAATCAGGAAAAAATATAAGAATTAAAAAGTTTTATTTCCTTTTTTGATATTCCGCTTACCTTTTCCAATGTGATTAGAACAGTTTTGCTATCTTGCAATACCCACAATGAATCTTCAACTTTAATTTCGGCACACAATTGACCATTAATAATGGGGTCATGACCTTTCAAACCAACTTTTAGTGTTTTCTTTTGTATATCGACTACCAAATCACGTGCTCTCAAATTAAACGATACAGCAAATGGAATTTTAAGCTAGAAAGATACATAATTGAAAGAAGAATTAGTACTGGTCAAAGTTTAAAAAAATGGTTTCGGTCTATACACAAAGAATATGCAACAAATTTCTTTATTTGTATTTTGAGCTAAAACTTCAATAGTTTTAAATGTTTACACATTTTTTGCAGGTCTGTTTTCACCGATATGATCTAATTCTATTAAATATTTTTGACTTTGAACAAATGTATTTTTGTCTCCGGATATCATGGACGTTCAAATTCAAACCGATGCCGAGGAAATTTAATTGCAAAATGTTTTAACCTTTGAGGGGACCCCCCCCCCCCCAAATTCTCGGAGTCAAAACTTTTTATGATTTAATTCGAATCTACTCTAATTCAAGAATGTCCCTACAAAATTTCAAGTGAAATCTCAAGAACTCTTGAAGATATAGCCGATTTATTGTGTCAACATCAAGTGACGGCTGAAGGGCTTCTCAAACTTTAAATGCGTTTTTCTCTTTTGCGAATGGCGGACACGATGACTCAAAAACTAATAACCCAAATTTTTACACGTTTCTCTGTGAGTGTACAGCTATCGTATGAACTAGGATAAAGCCAATCGGTGAAGATCTTCCTTATTTTTTAACATGGTTTTTGGTCAAAAATCGACGATTTTCCAAAAATATTTTTTCAAAGGTCCGCCATTTTGTTAATTTTAGAGCGAAGTCAATAATCCTAGTTCATACGAGAGCTAGACATGTTCTCTTTCTAACAACGTTGGAATTTTCGGATTCCGATGTTCCTGTGAGGAGTTAACATGCCCGTCATCAAAAGTAAGGACTTTTCTTTAATTACAAAAAAAAACTACAAAACAATAACAAAAAATTTTTGTAAATTATTTTTCTTCTCTTTTAAATCTTCAAATATATATATATATGGAAAGTTACTAACCTTAACGAGCACTGGTATTGATTTACCAGCCCTTTGAAAATCTTGAAAAATTAAAATCGAGAATGGGGGGGGGGGGGGTCCCTTAACTCAAACATACCTTTTTTGACCAAAGACCTTTAAATAATTAGAAGCCTATGATTTTCAAAAATGTATGTATCATCTGTTCGTCAAATATTCGGTATAGTCTTATTTCAGTTCACCACAGATCTTAAATAAATTCAGGTTTGACCTAATTACTCCCTAACCACGATTGTTCGCTATAATATACCTTTTGTTGTGTAAAACTAATTGAGAAGCTTTAGAAGTTCCTCTGTCGCATATAAAGTGTGAACAAATTGAAAACTGAAAACGAATTTTCTGAAAATCGTTTTTTAGTTATGACTGTCTTGCAGCAAATGAGTGATATGATATCCATCGTCTTCAAGATGAGTTATGTTGTCCACTTATTAAGTGTCCTTAGGAGTCTTGATTAATAATGAATTCATCCTTACCTCGACTTCACCCAATGTCTGTGTCCACATATATTTATCCAAAGTGCAACCGTTACCGGCATTTGGTAATAATTTACCAACTTCAGATTTTTCGGTTTCATCCTCAACTTTGTCGATGGGTTTTGATTTTTCTTCGTCCACAACGACGGGTGCAGCACCACCAGCAGCGGCTGCAGCTTCTTCCAAAAGTTTTTGACGTTTTCTATATATTTCAAAATAAATATATTAATTATATGATATTTATATGGTTATATTTCCGAACATACTTATCTTCCTCTTCTTTAATAATTTGAGCCGCCTCCTCATCAGTGATATCACAAATTTTACTCTGAGACATTTCCTTTTGTCTCGCCTCCCGTTCTTTACGTTCTTTTTCCTCCTTTTGTTTACGCTGTTCTTCCTGTTTTCGCAATTTCTCTTTGTGTTCAGCCATAGCAATATCAGCTTCTTTGCGTAAAATATCCATGATGAGTTTTTCCCAATCGCCTGTATAGAAATCACTACGTCGCCTTAGGAAGCCAGCGAATGTACGAAGGAACTACATATAGGAGAAAAAACATGTTAGTATAGGATGTAAAACTCCTGTATAGACTACTTACATCGGGCATACCACCGGTATGTTTTTGAGCCATGGCCAATAAAATGTTATCATAGTGTTCCTCTTGTCCAGCCATTTTTCTGTTGAAATAAAAGTTCTTCCTTTTTGGTCGTTAAGAGTTCTTTGAGATTTTTCTGGAAAAGTTGTCCGTCCTCCTGGTTGCTTAGATCAAATTTTTTTTTGTGAATGAAACGTGCAAAAAACGAGAAATGCCCGGAATGATTTGTCATCTGTTCAAAACAAATGCTATGACAACCAGAGTCGGGAGCCGCTCAAATGTAGCCAACGGCAGCACTGAGCAATACGAAAAAAATTAACGGCGTTGTATAAATGTTGTTTGTGTGTTGGGGCAACTCTGCTGTTGGTGTTCAATGACAACAGGGTTGCATTATTGTGTGAATTGCTGTGTTCAATAAGTAAATTCTATAAAATCGTTGTGAAATTTAAATTTCAAAATTTCAAACTGGGTTTTTTATTGAAAAATAACAGTACGTTTACATTGTATCGGATTAAGTTAACCCAGTGGGTTATAATTGCCAATTCCATTACATAATTGTAAAAAAAAATCCTCATAAAGTTGGTTAACCCTGCAAAAAGTTCTAATGTACATGTCGTTTAAAATAATTAATTCAAGAGAAAGGCGGTTCTGAACACACAGAAAATATTTAAAATATATATTCGTAAATATTAGTTTAGATGATGATCTTTTATCAAAAAAGACGCTATAGAGCTTTGATAACACAGCCAAGGAATTTTTTGAGGTTCTCACTCAACCTAGTTCCACCTGGAACTGGAACCCACAATAGACTACCAATGTGGCGTAACAACAAAACAATTCTATGCATTCATCAATTCTTCTCGAATCTATATTCACGCCTAGATTACCTTTAGGCCGCATATATGTCAACGTATACAGTCGTAAGTCACTAAGCTACAATTCTTTAACAATTTCAAAGATTTATTTGAGCCGTCAGCATATATTGGCAGACCGTTCAAAGCCGGGGATGGATGGAATATAACCACGGATGTTGCAATCATTTAATGAGATGAGTGTGACGTTCGCCATGTTCCTATCCGAAATGACCCAAGTCTTAGTCTCGGCCAACGTCTGTCGGCTCAGCCCATTATGTAAAAGCAATAGGGCTGCTAGAACAACATCAACCTTAGGTGAGTATGGTAATTACCTACGTAAATAGGAAAATTGTCGCAACTGAGGCTCGACAAACAAATCAAATATTCCTGCGAAGCCTCTCTACCCTCAAGGGCTAAGTAGAATGCTCGCGTTGAGCCATCCGTTGCGTTATGTGCTATCGAAAATACAACAACCACAAGGAAACGATAACAGAAACGCTCGAAGTTGATGTGCGTTGCGCTTCGGAGTTAAATATATTTTAACTTTTTGCGTGCGTTAACGCGATAACAAAAAACGCTCAACGCGAACATTCTGTTTAGCCCTTCAGCGTGTGACTTTTTGGTGCGGTTTACGATCAGAGAGTGGTAATTTGAATTTAATCTTTCGAAAATGAGATTGAATCCAAACTTACGTGGAAAGAATCGAGAGATGGTTTTTTTTGTTGTAACAGCCCTACTGCATTTGCTCAAAGGGCTTAGGTGAAAGGCGCTTGCGTGTAAAACTCGGGTCGTTTTGAATAGTAGACCTCTTTGTCGCTGAAACTATTAAGCCACATTAAAATTTTAATAAAATAAACGGGGGTGTTCTGGAACTCACACATACACTTTACCTCAGAAGTTGCCTCCTGTTCTGCTTCTCACGTGAATTGAAAATTCACGAAATGCGACAAAAAGTAAACGTCAACATTGTACTGTGCAGAAATAGTGTTGCCACACAATATATAATGTATTGGTTTTTAACATTATTTCTGTTATTTTTTAGTAGTTTAGTTAAATCTAAAGATAATTTTATTATTATTGTTTAATATTTTGTTATTCACAACATAAATACATATATGAAAGACTCTATAATATCATTAATTGATAGATTTTAGTGGAACATTTGGTAACCCTATTTTAGTATTTGGCCCTTTGTGGCCCAATGTTGCCCACAAGCAACAACATGTTTTAAAGCTTATATTTAATATGCAGCTAGTAGATATAATTTATTAGGATTACAGATGTCAAGATCTGATTATTGACGACACATATCAAAAGAAAAAGTCATTCAAAATACAGAAGAGGGTAAATTTGGGTACAGTACTAATTTCTGTATACAGTCCAAATTATTTAAATCGCTTCGTATTCAAATTATACGACTTCTGCCTTCAAAATTATTTTTGATTCTTGTAAAAATGAATATAGAGAATAATTTAAAATGAGTTTTCTGTCGATTTTGCATTTGGTTTTCTTGATATTGTACTTTAATTTTTTTTCGAAAGAATGTACTGTATCTCCCGAATGCAAGGATGCAAGCGATGTCAAATTTTGTGCATATCCTATTTAGGATAGTTGCATTAAATCTGTGAACAGCAATTTATTCTAATATTGAGAAATTCACTTGAAGAAAATGCAACACAAACCTAAGAATCTATTTAAAATTGGGTTTTAATGGCGTTTCATGTTAATTTTGTGATTTTTAACAAATTAAACGTAATAATAACATATTAATCTATCATAAAAAATAATATTTTATATAGAAAAACATGAATACACTCGACTCTTACTATGAAAATGTAAGTGTAAAGAATTCACTTCAAACAGGTGTAAAGTGTGTTACAGAACAGCTCGACGTGTGTTCGAAACACTGAATAGTTTCGTTTGGTGCTCTCAGTAAGGGGCAATTAAGCCACATTAAAAATTAATAAAATAAAGGTTTAAATATGAAACCCTGTGGTTGAATAGTTTCTTTTAACGCTCTCAGTACGTAAATACATACATACATACTGTAGGCTTCAAATATTTTTAACCACTGTAAACCGCTAACATTTAATGTCAAGTTAACAGAAGCAAAAGTAGTAAAATATTTCTGTTAACTCAGTTACAAAAAAAAACAAAATTCCTTTTTGACTGGCTCCATCGCACGGACAGGCAAGCTGGCACACACACACAATCCCTTGCTAAAAGGAAAAAAACAACAACAACAAATCTCCAAGCTAGAATAAGAATATATACACACACCGGAAGATGGATGGTTGGTTGGTCTGTTGTATGATGAAGAGAGCGAGACTGTTTGTGGAAAAAGGTGGTATTTGCGCAGTATGGTGCATGTTTTTTTTTTTGTTTCATTTCGATATTCTTCCATATGAAGAAGTATGGTTGCGAATTTTTTGGTTCTCCACGGCTAAACTTGATGGTGGTGCTCAGTTTTGTGCGGTCTTCTGAAGGAATCAGTCGTTTCAAACGTTCTCAAGCTAAAGCTTAAAAAGCAAAGTCAACCTTACCAACCAGCCAATAAAAAAAAATCAGCCACAGCAGTGTTTTTTGATGTAAAGTGTGGGCTTTTTGCAAAATCATCTTTAGAAAAGCCAAAACCAAGAAAGAAAAAAAGAAGGAAAATTTCAATTTTGAAAGTGTATGCGAATTTGTTAAAATAGTAGTTTTGTTTTAATTGTTACAAAGAAAGTTTCGACCGACCATAGCACAAAACATTGCAAAAAAAATCTAAAAGATTTTTTAGGCGAGAAATTGCTTTGGTTTCAGAGTGGAAAAATACAACAAGTAAGAATGAATAAAAATTCAATACTTCTCGTAAAATTTATTTTAAATGATTTTCAATTTGTGTTATAAAATGTATTCAAAGAAAAATGTACATATTTCCAAATGTCTTGTTCTACTATTACTTAATGGTGTAGAGAATTTTCAAATGACAATACGAAGAAGAGGAAAAAAATGAGTGGTGGTCTCTGAGAAATTTCTGGAATATCTTTACCATTTTTGTTATTGTTTATCCCCGTTTGGGTATTGTGTGTTAATTTACTTACAAAATTGATGTTTTTATTATTAACAAATTAAGAGAATTTTAAACATCTCACATAATAAATCATTAAGGATAATTAAATGGGGGATGGAAGGGGTAGCAATCATCAACACACAAAAATGAGAGTGTTCTACCAAATAAAAAAACATGTTCATTATTGTTCGCCGCTGACAGTTGGTCTTTATGCGCCGCAGAAGGAAAAGAAAAACATAAAAATCGATAAAAATCTTGTCATGTTATTTTTTCTCTGTGAAGATATTTATGTAGAAATGTGTGTGTGTTGTGCGATGTACTCTCCATGCATGTCAGTAGGCCTGCCCGGTGTAAGTTTGATATATTCCATATACATAAATGTTGTATACATAAATATATTTATACGCACGTATGTAAGTATACAGAGTGACAATTGTGCCTCCATAACAGAGCGTATACATAGCGGGGTTTGTACCGTGTTTGGAGCGAATGTTGTAAATAATTGAATGTATGTACATATGTTCACGACATTGAATATACAGAGAATAGTAAAATCATATAGCAGAGTAATTATTTTGTGCTCTGGCTCCTTGTTATTACTCTCTTATTAATTTCTACACGCATTTTATTTAATTGTATGCCGTAGAGAAACCCCCCTGCAGTGTAAATAGGAATCATGGGAATGTATGCCATTGATTGTGTTAGGGTTTTGTTTGTATATTCTGCGATGTTTATATTAAACGTGTTTTAACATATGTTATAGTACGTTTACATTTAATCGGATTTCGTTAACCCAGTGGGTTTCAATTGTCAATTCCTTTGCATATATTTGAAATAAATCCTCATAAAGCAGGTTAATACGGTAAAAAGTTCTAATGTATATGCCGTTTTAGTATTTCCGATTTTACCTCAATATCGGATTAATCAAGAGCTCCTCTTTCATACACATACACTGTTAACTTTTCTTGGACCAGGTTTTCCCGGAGTGATGCAAATGTTGACATATTGCATCAAATTTTGGGCCCATTTCATCCCCCAAATATCATCTCATAATCACCGAAAACTATAGGCGTCCTCCTTGAAAATAATTGCAGCTTCATAATATAATTTGATAATTTTAATGCAGCTCCCATATCGGAGTACATAGCAAATATTATATCAATTCTCCGCTTTATCTC